AAAAAAATTACTCTAAAACTACTAAAATGCTAAACTAATACTTAGAATTGGAATATAAAGCTCAAATCCCGAGAAAGGGGATGAAAGTGATATGTTGAATGGGGAGAATCGCGCTGTATTTATAGGACAGAGGCCGAGGCGTCCAAGTCAAAGCGTCCAGATCCAAATTGTCCAAGGTTGGACGCCTTACGCGGCCCGTCCATTCGCTGCTTGCCACGTGTCTTCCTTGATCTGCAATCCAGCCCAGGCGTCCAACTCCAAGCGTCCAACTTGGCCAAGCGTCCAAGTTGGATGCCTTGAGGCCTTGGTCCATTGGGCTTCGCGGCTCTTACGAGAACTTGGCCCAATTTCACTAATTTTCGGCTCGAATGTCGATTTTATCTTCTCGGAAGCTCGTTCAAGCCCGAAACTTGATCCTTTGATTACCTATTCCCTTTTTCTCAAGCATTTGAACATAAAATGGATAATTTATGATGATTTTATGTGGAATCCCATTTTATGACTCTTAGAACAAAAATGAGAGTTTTATGCATCAGAATCACTTTTTATGAGACGGCATAGGGCTGCCGTGAAACGGCATAGGTTTTTAGGGAAAGGAAGGGCACTGTTTAAGAGTCTCCACAAGAAGATCTTGATTTTTGGGATGTTTGAGCTGTGCCAAATGTATTTACAGGATAATAGGTTTGTCCCACTTCCCTACACCATGTTGAAAGCACTCTTGAGGCTGAAGTTTCCTCCTTCCCAAAGCAAGCCTGAACTAGTGGTGGTGGTATGGGATGTTGCCAGATAATTACATCACATCTGCAAATCCTTTTCCATGTTGGAGAGTCAGTGATCCTTTCCTTCATGATTCCTGTTTTCATATACCTGGCTCTCACATAGGGCCCCCATATCCAGGCCCGCCCAATGAGGAGTGCAAGAGGTGCTCCTGCACAGGGCCTCCAAAATGATGGGGCCCAATCTCAAGTCAATTAAGTTGTTTAAGACTCTTCATTCTACCTTCTTTGTTCTTCAACTAGGCTCTTCAATTCCTTCTCAAATCTTGTGTCAATTGTGGTTGTTTTTTCATTTATAGGCTGCATCTTTAATAATTTTTTATTTCCAGTTCTTTAAGAACTAATCTGTTTTGTTTTCTGTTTTTTTCATCTTCAATTTGTTTTAAAATTGATCTACTTTTTTCATTTCTAAATTCAGTTTTAAGAACTTAATTCAGTTTTAAAAATCCAATTTTAAATTGATTTTTAATTATTAATGAATTATTTCTTATTTTTTTTCTTCAATTCTAAAAGTGATTCTACTTGCAAGTTAACTTTTTTTGGACAAAAACAAATTCTAAAGAAAAAGTTATTATTCAAACTACTTGCATTGCGACATGTGCAATTCTTAGGTTTTATCGCTCCACTGATGAAAAGACTTGAAGTTTATTACTCCGTATATTATTTTTAATAGAATCACCAATATTGATACATTTGCATTATCACAACTTTTATTTTAATTTAAAAAGTTTAGAGCCAAAAGTACTAAATAGCACAGGGCCTTTTAAAATGATTGGGCGGGCCTGCCCATATCCCAATGTCATTTCTTGCCTTCCACCAAAGTTTAAGGGTGTATGCTTGTTGTAGGTCCTTTATGATGTACCCCGGGATGCTCCTACAAGCACGGAGGTTACACCACAAACCATAAAACAAATCAAAGGGTTAATATCAAAGTGTTATGATCCTTTTTGGGCTGAACTCATTAACCTTTCGTACCCTAAAACCCAAACCATAACCCTGCTCCTCCAAAGCTCTTCTTGATATCAAATCAGACCAGATCCAATCAGATCAGCTCCAATCAGATGAGATCAGATCTTATCAGGTCAGACCAAATCCAATCAGATCAGATCAGACCACATCAAATCCAAGAATATGAAATCAGGAAAAAGTATAAAAAATATTAATATTTTTCAAGGATTAAATAATAATTACTATCATTTTACTAAATTACATTACTTTATTTGGAGGGGTCAAAACCCTAGCCTGTTTGCTTTCTTGTGTTGAGATAAGAGAAAAAAGCATACGGAGGACATGATCTATTGGCGTACAGAAGAAGCTGGCGGGAGTACTATTTTTAATTGACTAATTTACTGTTCCAATGTGGCTCCTATCTTTGTATATATAGAGATATCGTGGGATGACCAATGACCTTGCAGTGGTCCGTTCGAGAAAATGACGGTTCTTACTCCCCCTACCCCCCTCCCCCCTCAATTTCATCCCCAAATTTAGTTGACTTTGGAGTCATTTTTTTGACTCCAAAGTCAACAAAATCTGGGGTGGAATTCAAAGGGAGGGGAGTGGGTTAGGGCCGGGACAAGGTGGGGGTTTTACTTGGGG